CAACAGAATACAGTTCGACAGAAGACATAGAGAAAACCTTGACCATTATCAACGACTCTCTAATGTCAGCGTATGAGAAAAGTAGCCCCCTAAAGAAGGAAGGTCTGGGCAAAGGTACACCATGGTGGAACCGAAGGCTCAGCCTACTTCAATCGGGGCTAAGAAAACTTTTCAATAGAGCAAAAAACACTAAGAAAACTGAAGACTGGGAAGCCTATAAAGAGCACCGGAAAGAGTTTAAGAAAGAATTAAGAAAGAGGAAACGGGAAACGTGGAGATCCTTCTGCAGCGACATAACGTCGACTGCTTCGGCCGCAAGGCTGAAGAGAGTTCTCTCGAAGGACCACACACATCAACTAGGTTTCCTAAAGAAAGAAGATGGCACCTTTACAGCCACCTTAGAAGAGTCCGCAGAACTTTTGCTGCAGACCATGTTTCCAGGCAGCACACGGACTACCTCCCATTCCAAAAGGGATGTAGTCGGTACTCAACCTTCCCCGAAGGACTGGGCGCTGGCTGCAAAGGTAGTCACGGAGGCAAGACTGGAGTGGGCAGTGGACAGCTTTTCCCCATACAAATCTCCAGGAGTTGACGGTATTTATCCCGCCCTCCTGCAGAGGGGAATGAGCAGACTACGCCCTATTTTGTTGCCAATGCTTCGGGCGTGTCTGGCTTTCAGCTACATACCGAATGCATGGCGAAAAGTAAAGGTTATCTTTATACCTAAGCCAGGACGACAAGATTACACCTTGGCTAAATCCTACAGACCAATTAGCTTAACATCATTCTTGCTGAAAACGCTAGAAAGACTAAGCGAAAAAGAGATTCGGGAGACTGCTTTGAGCAAGCAACCTCTACATCCGAACCAACATGCCTACATCCAAGGAAGATCCACCGATACGGCCTTACACACAGTTGTAAACCGTATAGAGTGGGCGATGGAGAACAAACTCTTCACCTTAGGAATGTTTTTGGATATTGAAGGAGCGTTTGATAAAACGACCTTCAAAAGCATAGAACTAGCCCTACGAAAGCACGACGTGGACCCCACCCTAAGTAGGTGGGTGGCCAGTATGCTGAGGAATAGGGAAGTAATGATTAATGTAGGTGGCACTGAGATCGAGGCTGTTGTAGACAGGGGATGTCCTCAGGGAGGAGTTCTCTCTCCTGTACTGTGGGATACTGTCGTTGACAGCCTGATACGACGCCTCAATGATCTTGGCTACCACACAATTGGATACGCGGACGATCTGGTCATTCTGCTAACAGGAAAAAACGCAGATACATTATGTGAGATAATGCAAGCTGCAGTAAAAATAGTCGAGGAATGGTGCAACAGACATACCCTCTCCGTTAACGGAGAAAAGACGAAACTAATCCTGTTCACCAGGAAAAGGAAAATTGGCACACTACAGATGCCAAAAATATTTAACACAACGCTTCAACTTTCGGACGAAGTCAAATACCTGGGAGTTGTATTGGACTGGCGACTGAATTGGAAGAAGCATGTAGATGATAAAGTAGAAAAGGCACGCTCGGCTCTTTGGCAATGTCGTAGGGTGGTGGGAAGATCGTGGGGTTTAAATCCCAAGATCGCCCTCTGGATCTACACGGCAATAGTCAGACCGATGCTGTGCTATGGAGCTTTAGTTTGGTGGCCCAGAGCCAGACAAAAAACAACAGCCCTGCAACTTGAACACGTTCAGAGAATGGCGTGTCTCAGTGTTACAGGAGCAATGAGGACCACTCCCACAGCGGCTCTGGAGACTCTCCTTTGCTTAGCACCTCTTAACCTTTACATAGAGGAAGCGGCAATGACGACGTCTCTAAGACTTCACTCTCTGGGAGTATGGAACAAGCAAGGCCGCACAACGAAGCACACTCGGATCTTAACGGACGCGTTCAACAGAATACCCTTGTTGAGGATGGGTTGTGACCGAATGGGCACAAAATTAATATATGAGAAGACATATAGAATATCAATGAATGATAATTCAGAAGGACGAGCCGACATAGATATCTATGTCGATGGTGCCAAAACAGATAGTGGTTCAGGAGCCGGCATCTACTCCGAACAACTGAACGCACAAATCAGTGTACCTCTCGGCACCCACACGTCTGTCTTACAAACAGAACTGATGGGAATAATGCTGGGAGCTAGAATCATTGCTGAACGTGAAATCGGCAACAAATCAATACGCATACTTACTGACAGCAAGTCTGCACTACTAGCCCTGGACAGCTGTATGGTTCGATCCGGGCTGGTTTGGGAGTGCAGGCAAACGCTAAAGTATGTAACGCAGAGGAATAGTGTGGAACTTTGTTGGATCAAAGGACACAGTGGCAACGAAGGAAACGAGAGGGCAGATGAGATGGCGAAGCGAGCCGCGCGCATGCCCTTCTGGGGACCCGAACCGGCAATCACGCCTTCGGTCGCCCTCTCGAACGAACTCGTAAAGCAATATACCCATAGACGCCATGAGCAGATATGGGCGACGTTGAGCAGCTGTCGGCATAGTAGAGCTTGTATGGCGACACCAGACCGTAAGTTGACAAAATTTTATCTCTCACTTTCAAGGGAAAAACTGCGTAAACTGGTAGGATTCCTTACGGGACATTACCAGTTTAACAAACATCTACATACGATAGGGGTAGTAACAGACCCAATCTGTCGTGGATGCAATGAAGAAGAGGAAACAGGTGAGCACATTCTTCGTGAGTGTCCAGCCCTAGCCTCCTACAGGGAATCCATACTAGGGGACATCTGGCCTAGTATGGCAAATATCAGGGAGTTTCCACCCTCTGCATTACTCAAGTACATTCAAGCAGTTGGATGGCTTGACGAGTAGAGGAGCGGGAAAACACCCTGATATGGACTTGGGGAAGGTACAATGGGCCCAAAGGCGAGGCCTAAGTGCCGGCTGGCTACGGTCAGCCCCCATAAATTAAGAATCCAGAATCCAGAATCCAGATTGTTTTGAAATTTCAAGAATTTAATTTTTTGCGGTTTGAGGATATTTTTGTGAAATTTACTGAAATTCGGTTGCCGCTTAATCTCCGAAAATAATTACCTTGATCTAAATAGACCGCAAATAATAATTCCAGGGCCTGTTCTAAATCTACTTTTAATTGTTCACCGGTTATATCAGACTTTAAAAACTTAACAAACATTCTTTGTTTCTACAACTCTTTTTTAATGATTCTTTTGTAATAAATTTCACATTTAAAGAAAAATAACTATAAAATAAATTACATCCTAGAATAAAAAACATAGTCTAGGATTATATAGACAGAACTTCCCTCGCCATAAGACAGTCGAAAAACTATGGTTATTTCGAAAGTTTTCGTTTATTTTATGATAACTCCAATAAGAGAAAAAATAAATAATCTGATCACATTGTAAATAGAAACAGTAGGTAAGGATGGGATTTGAACCCACACGGGTCTGAACACAAGAAATTGGCTACATGAATCACGTAATTGTGATAAAAAACAAGGCGAATTCATAAACCACGAGTACAGAAGTATATTATTTAATAAAATTTAGAAAACCTTAACTACCCAAAATGGTGAGAGGACAATTAGACACATTTTGTTAGCGTTGAGAACAATCAGTCCTGTAGCCTCGGAGATTAATTGTCTACTAAAGATAGAAACAGATGACAGACAGAAACGGCAGACCTACTTTTTCGTAGTCTAAGCATCATGAAACGTCGAGAAAACATTAAAGTAGCCATTTGCCGCATGGACCCTGTTACAATACTTCCTTAGCTTACGCTCGAATTCACAATGAAATATCCTAGCTAACTCTTTTAGTAAATACACATTAAATTCCAGGTGATTACTAATTTTTTTTTTGTATTTTTAATTGGAATTAAAATTAGTAATCACCTCTAATTTTGAGATTTGTTTTTAACAATGAAATAGAATTTCAGTACTATACTACTACTTTAGCAAGTTTGACAGTTTTTGGAACTTTTGTTTACGTGTAACGAAAATAATCAAAAAAATTTAGTTAATTACTAGAAAATATGCATTTCGTATAAATTAAACACAAAATAAAATGCATACATATAAAAAAACATTTTATAAAATGAGATCGATAAAACTTTCCAATTTTTCGAAAAAAAAATTGTTTTTAAAACTTTCATTTTGAAAAAACTTGCCGTATCTTCTTTCTCAACGCACAGAATTTCACTTCTATGCACTGAAAACAAGCCAATGGACAACAAAAAACTATTAATTTAAGCAAATGTGTTATTTCGGTGAAAACAAAGTTAAAAATATCACGAAAAAGTAAAAATCAGAAGGGCGAAACTCTCCTATTCATGAAAAAGTTGACCTTAATTTATAACTGCAGTGTAAAACACCGGTTTGGTAAAACTCAACCAAAAAACTCACCACCAGAGTTTATCAAAGCTATCAATTTGTCTAACAAGAATATCAGTTTTTGTAAATCCGTTAACCGTATTATTGGCAATTTTAATTAATTGTTTTTCTCGGCTTATCGGATTAAAGTAACATTATCACGTACTGTGGTGGATTTTGAGTACCGTGTTACAGATGACGTCAACCCAAATTAATTTTAGAAAAGTTTCCAGGGTTTGTGGCACGTCATCTCTTATTTAACAGCATACCTAACATTTGAATTTAAATGACATCATCACGGTAAAAGCATTGTTTATGCACACTATTATTAATATCCTGGAACAACGGTCCGAGCTTTCAAATTAGAATTTTTAAAAATAAAGCACTCGCCACACATAAATTAGCGTTTATTGATAAAGTCGCATAAATTTCCATGTTTAACGTAACGTAAAAATGACTCTCGAAGTCCCGCCTACACCCAGTTTTGTACAAAAAACTGAAAGTTTGATAATTACGTGTCCGGTCGTATCGGAGTCAATCACTGCCGATTTAACAGTAACACGACCATAATTTTAATTCGTGCTCAACAAGCGATTAACAAAAATAATTCACGTTTCCGATACGCCTGTCACTATTCACCGTTTTACATAACACTCTCCAAGTAATAAACTAACATTAGTCAAATTTCTGCAAATTCTACGTTACGTTTGGAATAATTTACGGCCTCTTTAAAAAGCCCATCGGTAACGGTACGATCGGTGATTTATAAAGAGATGACCCTTCGAGAACTCTCCTATTGGAAAGTCTCTTTACGACAAACTCAATCGAATTTGAACGGTTAATTAAACAATTCAAAGAAAGGCAGTAAATCAGTGTAATTGCACTAATACGTTTCCAGAGAATAAACCTGCGTAAAAGGTGACACCGCGGTTTCTTTTTCATAATTGGAATATCTTAGTACTGCTTTTCTAATTCGCTCCCAATTCCAGTAATGTCGAATCTGCACATAAATTTATTTAATAATGGGTTCCTGCCAGACCAACACACAAAAAAGTGAAAGTTTTTGATTATAGACCCAAACAAAAAATCACATGGTATGCAAACAATTACAATTCCGTCGAAGTTGTGAAAGTACCATCGATTTGCCGAAACAACTGTCGGAACAGATCTTCGTTAATAAGGAGAAATTCGTCAATTTTGAGTCGCCTCTAAGAACTTTTCTAGTTTCTTTTTTGTTTCTTTTTCTCGGATTTCGTGCCTTATCTTCTCGAGGTCTAGGATATTCAAAGCCACCAAATCCAAAGAGCTCGTTTCAGGGGATACCCGCTTTTTCGCCGGATTCGAGGTAGTACTAGCATTCGAGAATCGCTTGTCGTACGAATTCAACTTGAACTGTTCTTGTTCTATCATGTTCTGGATTCTCCTTCTGCTATCCGTTTTACATAATCGAGCACTAGCGATTCGTTCTATCGAATCCTGCGACGATTCTGCACTTTTCGGAGTAAACGCAGGTACTTTGGGCTCCGGCAGAGGTATTTTCCACTTTTCCATACACGCCGGACACTTTGTTTGCTTCAAATGAACCTTGATTTCCTCATCCTCAAATGTAACGCTTGTTCTTTCTCTGAAACCGAATCATTATTCATCAGTCGCTCCTACGATCGATGTAAAACCAACAACTCAGCCTTGCATACCGAATTGTACGTGTTTGTTCAGGTAAGTGAGACAAGAATTTTAATCAGACTCACTTATCGCTCATTCTTCTGCTCCTGTCACTTCCCTTGCTGAGGATGGACGATCTGTGCTCCGCTGTCCTGTTAAGACTCGGTTTTCTCCCGCCAAGATCAGACGGAGGCTTGGTTTTTTCCGAGTCCAGGCTGGTGCTCCGTTTTCGGGTTTTGACTGGCGGTTCGGGGGTTTTTTTGTAGCTAGGGGCCAGGTCTATGTTTTTTTGGACGAAGTTGGTGCTCTTTCGTCTGAATTTTGACGGGTCGACGAGTGGGGGTTTTTCTGGTTGTTTTTTGGTTGTTGGGGTTGCGCGTTTTGGGGAGACTATGCTGGCTCGTGACATGGTGGCTTCCTCGATTATTACTAGTTCGCGGGATTCTGCTTCCAGCATGGTCCAGCTTTCGCGTTTGGGGAATTGTAGGACGTTGGTTCGGATGTAGCGGATGAGGTCTTCTAAAGCGCCGCTGGGGGTTCGGATTTCGATGTGGTTGGGCTCGATTTTGTGTGGTTGGGTTAAAATGAAAGAGCTGCAACTAATAAGGGCTGAAGGGTTAAGTGTGGTTCAAAGATTAAAAAAAAATGAACGAAAAGTTAAACTAAAGTAAATAAACTAAACAACTTTTACGAATCCAGGTTAACTATTTATTATTAAAAAAAAAAAAAACAAATAACACAAAAAATATTGATTGAAAAATAGATAACATAAGCAGGACCAAAACAGAGTGATTTTTATGAAGAGAGAAAATATAAATAAAAAAACTAAGAAAACGCCTTCAAGAACGTTCAATTTTTGATAGTTAATTTATTATTATTATTATTATTATTGTACTATTGTTTGAGCAGTATACATAAAAAATATTTTCGGCTGTACAAAGTGTGCTTTTTGAGGCAAAGTACAAAATTCACTTTTTTTTATAAGTATAGAACACCTATAGGTATATTCTTACATATTTTTTGTTGAATTTTTTTAGCAATGCAAGGCTTCACAAAAAATTTTCCAGTAATGTTATTTTTAAGATTTCTGTGGCAACATTTTTTGGAAAGATCAACACACGTTTTGTTGTGATATCCATAAATCAAAATTTGCTTTTCCACCACCTTCGAAAATTATCCAGAAATATTTTTTTTAGATTTCGACCTCCAGAACTTATTTCATTTCTTCAAAAATTTGTACCATTTTTCTACAATCGCCCATTTGGATTATGGCAATTTTTAGGATAAAAAAAAAATTCAAATCTAATATTTCGGAAATCTTTGTTTTTCAAAAGCTCGATTTTTCAATATTCCCCCTAGATTTTTTTGTAGATTTCCACCTCCAGAAGTTACTTTCGGCTTCATTTCTGCGAAAATTCGTACCATTTTTTCCGAATCGCCAATTTGAATTTAGGATTTAGAAAAAATTTAGTTTCAAATCGAATATGCATGCATTTGGAAAATTTTGCTCCGGGACCATAAACATGTTATATATTTTTTTAATATCAGTACGTTGAGATCTATATTCCAGATTTTTTTGGCAACCTTTTCAAAAGCTCTATTTTTCAAAAAAATTTTGACCTTTTTTCGACCCCTTTCTCAAATTACCCAAAGAGATTTTTTGTGCACTACCACATCCAAAAGTCATTTTCAGCTTCAGTTCTTTGAAAATATCTACAAATTTTTCCAGAATTGCCCATTTGAATTATGACAATGTTTAGAATTAAAAAGAAAGTGATTATCACACGGAATATTTCGAAAACCTTGCTCCTGGATCAGATATACACTATATTTTTTGAATCAGCATGTCGAGATTTATTTATATCTCAGAATTCTTATTTGTTGATTTTTAGGCAACTTTTCCAGAATTTTTTGACACTCTCCCTTACGATATTTTCGGCTTTTTTGGGATCACCTTCAAAAATTATGTATAGAAATTTTTTTGTAGATTTAGGCCTCCAGAAATTATTTTCGTCTTAATTTCTTAGAAAATTCGTACCGTTTTCCCGAAACGACTATTTGAATTACTGCAGTTTTTAATAAAAAAAAAAAAAATTTCAAATCGGATATTTCGAAAATATTATATTTTTTTATTAAAAACTGCAGTAATTCAAATAGTGGATTTTGTGTTGGATTTTCAAACGTTTTCGGAAGCTCAATTTGTCAAGGTTTTGGACCTTTTTTCTATTAGTTTCAAAAATTACACAAAGATTTTTTGTAGATTTTGATCTCTACAAGTTATTTTCACATTCATTTCTTTGAAAATTCCTCTAATTTTGTCAGAATCACCCATGTGAATTGTGACAATTTTTTTTAATAACAAAAAACGACTTTTGCACCTAATATTTTGAAAATCTTGTTCCGGGACAATAAATAGGCTATATTTTTTCGAATCAGCACGTTGAGATCTCTATCCCAGAATTTTTAGTTAATTTTTAGGCAACCTTATGAAATTTTCCAGAATCGCCCATTTGAATTATGGTAATTTTTAGAATGTGGAAAAAAAAATGACTTTCAAATCGAATATATGTTTCGAAAATGTTTTTCCGGGACCATAAACACGATATATCACAGGACATTTTGTTGACTTTTACGTAACTTTTCCAAAAATGTTCAGTCCTACTCTTTTTCATGAAATTTTCAAATTTTTGCGATCACCTTTGAAAATAGTTTATAGAGATTTTTTGTAAATTCCGACCTCCAGAAGTTAAATTTGGTAATTTTTAGGATTTAGAAAAAATTGAATTTCAAATCGAATATGTATTTCGAAAATTTTGTTCGAGGACCATAAACACGGTTTAGTTGTTATTATCAGCATATTGAGATTGATATACCAGATTTTTTTGTGGACTTTTAGACGTTTTCAAAATCTCAGCTTTTTAAAAAATATGTTAAACTTTTTTTCGACTAATTTCTAATATTACCTAGACATTTTTTTATGTAGATTTCGACCTCTAAAAGTTACGTTCAACTTCCTATAATTTTTCCAGAATCGCCCATTTGAATTATGATAATTTTTAGAATAAAAAAAAAATGAATTTTACACCGAATATTTCGAAAATCTTGCTTCGGGACCATAAATAAGCTATATTTTTCCGAATCAGCACGTCGACATCTACATATATCCCAGAATTTTTAGTTGATTTTTGGGCAGTTTTTAAAAAATGTTTCAACACTCTCCCTTACGATATTTTCGGGCCTTTTTCGATCATCTTGGAAAATTATTATCTATAGAGATTTTTTGGTAGATTTCAACCTCCAGAAATTATTTTCACCCTTATTTCTTCGAAAATTCCTACAATTTTTCCCGAAATTGGCAAGTTTTAGGATTAAAAAAAAATTACTATCAAATAGAACACTTCGAAAATCTTGTTCTGGAATCATAAATACGCAATAATTTTTATCCTAGAATTTTTTGTGGGTTTTTAGACGTTTCCAAAAGCTCATTTTTTCTATGCTTTTCCTCCCTTATAAATTGTGAACTTTTTTGGGCTACTTTTTAGAGATTTTTTTGTAAATTTCGACCTCGAGAAGTTGCTTTCGACTTCATTTCTTCGAAAATTTTTACCATTTTTCCCGAATCGCCCATTTGAATTTGCCAATTTCATAATTAAAAAGAAAACTGATTTTCACACCGAATATTTCTAAAACGTTGAGAACTATATTCCGGATTTTTTTTGGATTTTTAGACAAAGATTTTTTTTGTAGACTTTAACTTCCAAAACTTATGTTCTGCTTGAGTTCTTTGAAAATTCCTACAATTTTTCCAGAATCGCGGTTCGAATTATGACAAATTTCTAGGATTAAAAAATTTGATTTTCACCCTGAATAATTCGAAAATCTTGCTCCGCAACCATAAGTACGCTATATTTGTCGAATCAGCAACTGGTCAACTTTTCCAAAATTTTTGGGTACTCCCCTTTACAATATTTTCGGCTTTTTTCGATCGAAAATTATCTGTAGAGTATTTTTTGTAGATTTCAACCTCCAGAAATTATTTTCGGCCTCATTTCATCGAATTCGGCATTTTTTAAGATTAAAAAATATTGACTATCTAATCGAATATTTCGAAAATTTTATTGTGGCATCATGAACAAGCCATATTTTTTATCTCAGAATTTTTTTGAAGATTTTTAGACGTTTTCAAAAAGTTTTGGATCCCATTTTATCGATTTCTAAAATTATCCAGAGATTTTTTTGCAGATTTCGATCTCCAGAAGTTATTTTCGACTTCATTTCTTCGAAAATTCTTACCATTTGTCCCGAATCGTTCGTTTGAATTGTGACAATTTTTAGGATATAGAAAAAAAAAACTTTCAAATCGAAATTTGGAAAATCTTGTTCCGGGACCATAAACACGCTATATTTTTTTAATATCAACACGTTGAGAACTATATTCCGGAATTTTTTTGGATTTTTAGACAAACATTTTTTTGTAGACTTTGACTTCCAAAACTTATGTTCTGCTTCAGTTCTTTGATTCCTACAATTTTTCCAGAATCGCCGTTTGAATTATGACAATTTTTAGGATAAAAAAATTTGATTTTCACCCTGAATACTTCGAAAATCTTGCTCCGCAACCATAAGTACGCTATATTTGTCGAATCAGTAACTGGTCAACTTTTCCAAAATTTTTGGGCACTTCCCTTTACGATATTTTCGGCTTTTTTCGATCACTTTTGAAAATTATCTGTAGAGGTTTTTTTGTAGATTTCAACCTCAGAAATTATATTTTCGGCCTCATTTCATCGAAAAGTCCCAGAATTTTTCCCGAATTCGGCATTTTTTAAGATTAAAAAAAATTGACTATCTAATCGAACATTTCGAAAATTTTATTTTGGGATCATAAACATGCTATATTTTTTATCTCAGATTTTTTTTTGCAGATTTTTAGACGTTTTCAAAAACTCAACTTTTCAAAAAGTTTTAAAGCTTATTTTTTCGACTTCTAAAATTATCCAGAGATTTTTTTGTAGATTTGGACCTCCATAAGTTATTTTCGGCTTTATTTTTTCGAAAATTTCTACCGTTTTTCCATACTTACCCATTTGAATTGTGACAATTTTTAGAATTAAAAAAAAGAAAGAAAGATTTTCACTCCAAATATTTCGAAAATCTTGCTCCGGAACCATAAAACTGTTGTGTTTTTCGAATCAACAGGTTAAGGATTTATATTTCACTATTTTTCGTTGACTTGTAGCCAAATTTTCCAAAATTTTTCGTCACTTCCACTTACGAAATTTTCGGATTTTCTCGACTACCTTCAAAAAATATGTTTAGAGGTGTTTTGTAGATTTCAACTCCCAGAAATTATTTTCAGCCTCATTTCTTCTAAAATTCCTACCATTTTTGCCGAAATTGGCAGTTTATCAGATCGAACATTTCGAAAATCTTGTTTTCAAAAGCTCAGTTTTTCAATAATCCTCCTCCCCCTATCAATTTTGAACGTTTTTCGACCACATTCTAGAGATTTTTTTGTAGATTTCGAAAACCAGAATTTACTTCCGGCTTCATTTCTTCGAAAATTTTCACCAATTTTCCCAAAATGCCCATTTGAATTTGGTAATTTTTGGAATTTAGAAAAAATTGATTTTCGATTCCAATATTTGAAAAATTTTGTTCAGGGACCGTACACACGTTATTTTTTTTTATCATCAGCATATTGAGATTGATTTCCCAGAATTTTTTGTGGATTTTTAGACGTTTTCTAAAACTCGATTTTCCAAAAGTTTTTGGATCTTTTTTCGACTAACTTCTAAAATTATCTATAGATCTTTTTGTAGATTTCGACCTCCAGAAGCTATTTTCGCCTTCATTTTTTCGAAAATTCCTGCCGTTTTTCCATATTCACCCATTTGAATTATAACAATTTCACTCCAAATATTTAGAAAATCTTGTACCAGACCGATAAATGCGTTATGTTTTTCGAATTAGCAGGTGAAGGATCTAAATTCCATAAATTTTCATTGATTTGTAGGCAACTTTTCCAAAATTTTTCATACGAAATTTTCAGCGTTATCTCGACTACCTTTGAAAATATTTATAGAGATTTTTTGTAGATTTCGACCTCCGGAAATTATTTTTGTTTTCATTTTTTCGAAAATTCCTCCGATTTCTCCAAAATCGTTCATCTGAATGACAATTTTTAGGATTTAGAAAAAAATTTACTTTCAAATCGAATATTTGGAAAATCTTGTCCCGGGATCATAAACACGTTAAATGTTTTTTAATATCATCACGTTGAGATTTATGTTCCAGAATTTTTGTGGATTTTTAGACAACGTTTTCAAAAGTTCAATTTTTCATAAGAATTTGGACCTTTTTACGACTGCCTTCTAAAATTACCCAAAGGGATTTTTTTTGTAGACTTCGATCTCCAGAAGTCATTTTTAGCTTTATTTCTTTGAAAATTCCTGGAATTTTTCCAGAATCGTCCATTTGAATTATGACAAATTTTGGAATTAAAAAAAAAAAATATTTTCACACCGAATATTTCGAAAATCTTGTTTGGGACCATATATGCGCTCTGTTTTTCGAATCAGCACGTCGAGATTTATATCTCAGAAATTTTTCTTTATTTTTAGGCAACTTTTCCAAAATTATTCTCCCTTATGACATTTTCGATTTTTTTTTCGATCACCTTCGAAAATTATTTATAGAGATTATTTTATAGATTTCAATTTTCTGAAATTATTTTCAGCTTCATTTTTTCGGAAATTTTAAACATTTTTCCCGAAATAGGCAATTCTTGGGATTAAAAAAAAATTGGCTATCAAATCGAACATTTCGAAAATCTTGTTCTGGGAACCTAAACACGCCATTTTTTCCAGAGTTTTTTGTTGATTTTTAGATAACGTTTTCAACAGCTCAATTTTTCAAAACTCCTCCCCTTCCCTTATGAATTTTGAACGTTTTTCGACTACATTCTAGAGATTTTTTTGTAGATTTCGACCTTCAAAAGTTATTTCAGCTTGATTTCTTGGAAAATTTTTATCATTTTTCCTGAACTGCCCTTTTGAATTTGGCAATTTTTGGAATTTAGAAAACATTGACTTTCAAATCGAAAGAATTAAAAAAGAAGTAAAATTTTCACTCCACATATTTCAAAAACCTTGTTCTGGGACGATAAATGCGTTATGTTTTTCAAATCAGAAGGTCAAGGATCTAAAATTCACAATTTTTCGTTGACTTGTAGGCAACTTTTCCAAAATTTTTCATCATTCCCACTTATGAACTTTTCGGGTTTTTCTCGACTACTTTCGAAAAATATTTGTAGAGATTTTTGTAAATTTCGACCTCCAGAAATTATTGTCTGGTTCATTTCTTCGAAAATTCCTACGAATGTTCCAGAGTCGCCCATCTAAATTATAACAATTTTTATGATTTAGAAAAAAATTGACTTTCAAAACGAATATTTCGAATATCTTGTTCTAGGACCATAAACATTATATTTTTTTAATATCACCACGTCGAGGAATTTTTGTTGACTTTTAGACAACTTTTCCAAAAATTTCCAGGACTTCGCATTATGAAATTTTCGGCTTTTCTTCGACTACCTTCAAATATTATTTATAGAGGTTTTTTGGAGATTTCGACTTCCAAAAATTATTTTTGGCTTCATTTTTGAATTAATAACAATTTTTAGAATAAAAAAATGATTTTTGTACCGAAAATTTAGAAAATCATTCGATAAACTATCTATAGAGATTTTTTTTGTAGATTCGAGCTCCAGAGATTATTTTCGGCTTCATTTCTTCGAAAATTCCTATCAATGTTCCAGAATTGCCCACCTAAATTATAGCAATTTTTATGATTTAGAAAAAAATTGACTTTGAAATCGAATATTTCGAAAATCTTGTTCTGGGACCATAAACATTATATTTTTTTTAATATCACCACGTCGAGGAATTTTTGTTGACTTTTAGACAACTTTTCCAAAAATTTCCAGTACTTCGCATTATGAAATTTTCGGCTTTTTTTTGACTACCTTCAAATATTATTTATAAAGATTTTTTGGAGATGTCGACTTCCAAAAATTATTTTCGGCTTCATTTTTGAATTAATAACAATTTTTAGAATAAAAGAAATGATTTTCATACCGAAAATTTAGAAAATCGTTCGATAAATTATCTATAGAGATTTTTTTTTGTAGATTTTGATCTCCAGATAATATTTTCGGCTTCATTTCTTCGAAAATTCCTACCAATGTTCCAGAATCGCCCATCTAAATTATAACAATTTTTATGATTTAGAAAAAAATTTACTTTCAAAACGAATATTTCGAATATCTTGTTGTGGGACCATAGACATTATTTTTTTTTTTAATATCACCACGTCGAGGAATTTTTTGTTGACTTTTAAACAACTTTTCCAAAAATTTCCAGTACTTCGCATTATAAAATTTTCGGATTTTTTTCGACTACCTTTAAACATTATTTATAGAGATTTTTTGGAGATTTCGACTTCCAAATACTATTTTCGGCTTCATTTTTGAATTAATAACAATTTTTAGAATAAAAAAAAAGATTTTTGTACCGAAAATTTAGAAAATCATTCGATAAATTATCTTTACTTATCTCTCCATAAAATGTTATAGCAAAAATTTGGAAAATAACCGTAATGTTAATTTTTTCTGAACCCTTCTATTGCTAAAAAAAATGAAGAAAATAAGAATAACGTGGCAGTGTCCCATGGGAATTTCAAAAATAAGTTGTAGCTAAATTTTGACGCTTGGTGTCGTCAGTTGATAAAAAACACCATATAACAAGTATAGCGCAGAATTATTTTTATTACATTATTATTATTTTTGAAAACAAAAGTTGAGATCATTTCCTAATAAACTAAAAGCGATATAATGCTAATACATACTATATTCATTTGATAGATTTATTAATATTAATTAACAGGTTCTAAATTTTAATCTTCTGGAATTTCAAATAACAAAATATTGAAGTGGGACATTTAAACGATTTTTTAATAAAAATTCAGAAAAAATTTGCAGACCTTGAAAACTTACAATATAGTTTAAAGACAACTGTTGTGGTAAAATTTGACAGGTCTTCAGAAATAAAAGTATCAAACTTTGGAACTAACGTCCAAAATTCAAAATTTTCAAAACCAAAATTTGTAAATGGGGGTCAGAAAGGAAGGAACTGAAGTCAGAAATTCACGTGTATAAGGCTTGAAAAAGCAATCAAAACTTCTATTGTATGAAACAAAAAACGAAATAGGTTATCAAATAGGTAGTTCAATCACAGTTCATATTCAATTGTTATACATATTTTATAGTCAAAAATAAAAACTGCACTCATTGGCAAAAATGCGTTTAGCGGTTCTGTTGAGAGGTCATGCTGGAGAACCTGTCGGAAATAAAATGAAGTTAGCCAATAAAATGTGTTGCTTTAAAAAATTCGAACTAGTCTCTGAACCATAGTAGATCTACATTTGCACTCAAGAATTCAAATGAAACAAATTTATTTCAAAATCGATACTATCAAGTAACATTGAAATTGCCGTAACTGTTAACAGATCCATTGCGATGAAAGAAGAAATAGAAAAGACTCCCATTACCATAAATAATTGTAATAGTTGTATCTATTACACACCTATTTCATTCTAGAGGCATTTTACTTACCGCCTTAGGGCTGTCGGTGCGATTTACTGACCTTAACGACTAATCTGAATTAGCTGGAAACATCAGTTAGAAACAAAGTCGATAAATCTGATCAAAAAATGTGGTCGAACAAAGGGCAGTTTTTTTGAACAAGGCAAAACAGCAAGAAGACAACTTGGAACTATACCTATTAACAATCGAGTGATTCTTCAGCGTCATCACGAAATCCTGTATATGCTGCTTCCTGAAGATTTTCTTCAAACTGCTCGGATCCTCCGCTACACTGATCAAGTGTCTGACTTTTTCCGGGTTTGAGTGCTCCAAAGCCGACAACACGGTCGTTATGAGTTCAAGAATTTTCTCGTTGACCAAAAGTCTCGCAGATAGTCGCTCATCCATTAAAGTCCGCTTGGGATGTCCTTTGTTAACGTCTGAAATTAATGTCTGGGTTATTGCTCCTTTGGATAAAAAAGTCGTTAGCGTTGTACCGAGAACATATGTCGGTAAGACAGAATCTAACATCTTTTCGTTCGACGTGTTGTTTTTTGATCTTTCAATTAACTGTTCTAATGGAGACTCTCTGCTGCTGGTCCGGGGACGCCTCGGAGGTGTCAAGTGATCGGTCTCGTGCGAAGAGAGGAGGTGCAAGCAGAGGATTTTTTCGATGTCGACTTCGCCGTCAGTGAAGAGCAAAAAATGGAGATCCTTTAATCAGTCACAAATGTTACAGGTGGCCCGATTGAGATAAATAATCTAAGAAAAATTTTGCTTTAACTAAGTGGATCGTGTGGAACATACGGATTATACTCGTACATGTAGATAATAACAGAAATTTGAAAAAAATTGGTTGACCAACAAATCCCATTTCTTTGAAAAATTTAAAAAAAAATCTGATAACCTCTATAAAGTAACGTACATAATACTCCAGTACTTTTAAAGTTTAAATTTTCATATTTTCTATTTTCCAACTTTTGAATGAAAATTCTTAAATTTTGCAATTTTTCGATTTGAGTTCCTCAGTTTCCAGTTTTTCGATTTTATAATTTTTTGTTTCTCAATTTTAATTTTTTCAATTTTTCGTTTCTTCAGTTTTAGATTATTCAGTTTCATGATTTTCAATTTTTCGTTTCTTTAATTTCTGACCTGCAATTTTTCTAGTTTTCGTTTTAAATATGTAATAATAGTAATCATAATTCTTAAAATTTGTGAATTTCATTTTACGATTTTAGAATTTTTCCATTCTTCAATTTTTCGATTTTTCAATTTTTTATTTCTTCAAATTTTCGATTTTTTTTAGTTTCAGTTTTTTATTTTGTTTATATTTTCAATTTTTCATTCTTTTTACGACGTGCAACTCTTCGAATTTTCATTTTTAATTCATCAGTTTTTCTATTTTCCAACTTTTGGAAGTTTCAGTTTTTAGATTTTGCAACTTTTCCTTTTGTATTTTTAGTAGTTTTCAATTTTTAATTTTTCAGGTTTTCGATTTATTAATTTTTCAGTTTTTCGATTCATTAATTTTTCAATCTTTCAATTTGCATTTTTCCGTTTCGATTTTTATTTTCTTTCGTTTTGCAATTTTTCAGTTTTCCAATTGTTCTGGCTTTATATTTTTTTTCAGTGTGAAAATTTTCAATTTCTCGATTTTTCAATTTTTGACTTGCAATTTTTCTAGTTTTCATATTAAATATGTAATGATAATCATAATTTAAAAAAAAATCACTTTTTCAATTTCACGATTTTAGAACTTTTCCATTTTTGGATTTATTATTAGATTTTAAAAGGTTTTCATTTACTCGATTTTTCAATTTTTCGATTTTTAATTTTTCAATCTGTCCATATTTAATTTTTCAATTCCTCAATGTTTAATTTTTATTGTTTCGATCTTTCAGTGTTGCAGTTTTTGAATTTACAATTTTGACGCTTCTTCTACATATAATTTTCCGATTCTACAATTTTTGGGTTTTCAATTTTTCGATTCAATTCGTTTTTTCTTCTTTCCAATATTACGATTCATTAAGCTTCCGGGTTTTTAGATTTTTAATGTTTCAATTTTTCGTTTCTTCAATTGTTCGATTTGCAATTTTTCGATTTTCCACGTTTTTGAGATTGCCATTTTTCATTTTTTCAGTTTTTCGATTTTTTAATTTGTTCTGATAATTTTAGTTTTACGATTTTTTATTTTTCAATTTTTCAACTTTTCGAATAAAATTGTAAAACTAAAAAATCGAAAGTGAAAAATCGAAAAAGTATAAAATGAAAACTTGAAAAATCCAAAAACTGGCAATCAGGAACTTGAAAAATTGAAAAAGCGAAAGATTAAAAATGAGAAACTTCATATAATTAAGAAAGTGCAAAATCTAAAAAAGAAAATATGTATTGTAAAATTGATATATTGAATATAAAGAAATAGAGAAATCGAGAAATCAGAAATCGACTAATTGAAAAATCTAAAATTTTAAACATTGAAAAATAAAATGTCGAAAAATTGAAAAATCGAAGAAGTAAAAAACTGAGAAATCGAAAAATCGAAAAGACGAAAAATCAATAATTGAAGAATCGGAAGAAATGAAAAATCCCAAAACAGAAATAATGACAAATTGAAAAATGGAAGAAAAATTGAAGAATCGAAAAATTCAAAAATCAAAGAATTGAAAAATTCTAAAAACTGGGACATCAAAAATTTTAAAATGTATAAATCGAAAAGCAGAGAAATCAAAGTCGAAAAATTGAAAAATTTAAACCTTGAAAAACCTGAAAAATTTAAAATTTTAAAATCGAAGCAATAAAAAATTGAGAAATCGAAAGATCGGAAAATCGAGGAATCGAAATATTGAAAAATCCCAAAACTGAAGTAAAAAAAAAATAAAAATGAAAGAGAAATCGAAGAATCGAAAATTTTAAAAATCTCAAAAACTGAGACTTCAAAAATTCAAAAAATTGAAAAATATAAAATTAAAAATTCGAACTAAATAAAGAACTGAGAAATTGAAAAATCGAAAAGATAAAAAATCGAAAAATTGAAGAATCGAAATTGAAAAACCCAAAACTGCAATAACGACACATTGAAAAATGGAAACAAAATTGAAGAGTCAAAAAATTCAAAAATCAAAAAATTGAAAAATTCCAGAAACTGCAATATCTAAAAACTAAGAAATCGAAAAATTTAAAATTTGAAAAACCTGAAAAATTTAAAATTTAAAAATCGAAGAAATAAAAAATTGAGAATCGAAAGATCGGAAAATCGAGGAAACGAAATATTGAAAAATCCGAAAACTGAAGTAAAAAAAAAATTAAAAACGAAAGAGAAATCGAAGAATCGAAAATTTTAAAAATCTCAAAAACTCAGATATCAAAAAATCAAAAAATTGAAAAATATAAAATTCAAAATTCGAAGTAAATAAGAACTGAGAAATTGAAAAATCGAAAAGATAAAGAATCGAAAATTTGAAGAATCGAAATTGAAAAACCCAAAACTGCAATAACGACACATTGAAAAATGGAAAAAAAAATCGAAGGGTCAAAAAATTCAAAAATCAAAAAATTGAAAAATTCTAGAACCTGCAGGATCTAATAACTGAGAAATCGAAAAATTAAAAAATTTAGAAATCGAAAAGTCGAAAAATCAAAATCGAAAAATTGAAAAATCAAAAACCTGAAAAATCTAAAATTGAAAAATCAAAAAAATAAAAAATTGAAAAATGAAAACTTGAAAAAACGAAAACACGAAAAATTAAAGAATCGAATATGTAATTGAAAAATCGATATCTCGGAAATTTAAGAAATCCAGAAATTGAGTAATCGAAAAAATCTTTAAAAAAATGGGAAAAATAAAATATCGGAAAATTGAAAAATCGAGAAATCGAAACATCAAAAACTTGAAAAATTGAAAAATGTAAAATTAGAAAATCGAAGAAGAAAAAACTGAGTAACAGAAACATTGTAAAAACAAAAAAATCGAGAAATCGAGAAATTGAAGAATCGAAATAATAAAAAAATGTAGAAATCGAAAAGTTGAAAAATCAAAATCGAAAAATCGAAAAATCGAAAAAATAACGAAAAACAGAGTAATTGAAAAATTGAAAATTTTTAAAATTAGAAAAATAAAATATCAAAACATGGATAAATCACAACATCAAAAAATTGAAAATAATAAAATTGAAAAATCGAAGAAGTAAAAAACTGAGAAATCGCAAAAGCGAAAAATTGAAGAATCGAAATATGTATATTGAAAAATTCCAAAACTGAAATGACGACAAATTGAAAAATGAAAGAAAAATTGAAAAATAAAAAATTTCAAGAATCAATAAATTTAAAAATTCCAAAAGCTGGGACATGAAAAAATGAGAAATTGAAAAATTTAAAAATCTAGAAATCGAAAACTGGAAAAATCAAAGTCGAAAAATCGAAAACTGAAACAGGAAAAACCTGAAAATCTAAAATTGAAAAATAGAAGGCGTAAAAACTGAGAAATAGAAAAATCGAAAAGTTGAAGAATCGGAAAATTAAAAAATCCCAAAACTCAAATAACGAAAAATTGGAAAATGGAAGAAAAAGTGAAGAATCGAAAAATTTATGAATCTCACAAACTAAGACATTGAAAAATTGAGAAATGGAAAAACTGAAAAATCGAGAAATTGAGTAATTGAAAAATCCAAATTTTAAAAATCGGAAAAATAAAATATCGTAAAATTGAAAAATCGAGAAAGCAAAACATCAAAAAATAAAAAAGTGAAATTGTAAAATTAAAAAATCAAAGAAGTAAAAAACTGAGAAATCGAGAATATCAATCAATCAATACTTTATTGGTGTTCAAAACTACAAATAGAGTTTTACACAAGTCAAACACATTAAATTAAATCAATAAACTATTAAAATTTTTACACCGAAGATAATCCTCAAAACTATAAAAACAATTCATAATAAGAAAAGTTTTGAGTTTTTTTTTAAATATATTAATAGGCTTATTACGAAATTCTTCGGGTAACACATTAAAAAATTTCACAGCGAAGTATCTTGTGCCAGTTTGTACCCTCTTCAAACGATTTGAATTGGGAACTAAATTTTCTTTGAAATTTGAAGTTGAAAAATTCCAAAACTGCACAAACGACAAAGTGAAAAATGGAAGAAAAATTGAAATAGTCATAAAAAAAATGAAAAATTTAGAACTCGAAAAGTAGAAAAATCGAAGTTGAAAAACCGAAAAATTTTAAAATGAAAAACCTGAAAAGTCTAAAACTAAAAAATCGAAGAAATAAAAAACAGATCTCGAAAAATGGAAAAGACGAAAAATCGAAAAATTGCAGAGTCGAAAACTGGGACATTAAAAAATTGAGAAATCGAAAAGTCGAAAAATTAAAGAAATGGGAAATGAAAAACCTGAAAAATTGAAAAATTGAAAAAATAATAGACTAAAAAATCGAATTACAAGGGGCTTGGGCTATCGAGAAGACTGTAGGTGGGTTTATAATGAATTAAATATATTAACTGTGCCAAGTTTATTTATTTATCAGTCTTTACTCTACGTTAAACAAAATATTAATTTATATAAAGTACATGGTGATATCCATTATTATAGTACTAGATATGAGAAAAATATTTGTCAAAAGAAATTGAGATTAACTTGCTCTAGAACCGGTATTGCGTATCATGGTATCAAATTTTATAATATTCTAACGTTGGAGTTGAAAGAGATGCCGCTTATTCGCTTTAAACCTAGATTGAAAGCATATTTGAAATTCAAGACATATTATAACTACAATGATTTTTTAACTGATGACAGTAGTTCGTCTCTTTCAATTCCATAGTTATTCTTGATTTATATTATGTATTAATGTATGTGTATTTTATCTTATGATGTTTAATGTGAACTATAATGTAGTGTATCTAAGTTTATAATGGTATTTTGTGACTTGTGTAAAACATGTTTTATGTCCTATACACCAATAAAGTTAATTCTAATTCTAATTCTAATTCTAAAAAAGAAGCATTGAGAAGTCGAGAAATTTAGAAATTTGAAAATAAAAAAATTATTAATTGAGAAATGTTAAAAATCGAAAAATTAAAAAATGTTCAAACTTAAACATCGAAAAATTGAGAAATCAAAAAATGAAGAAATCGAAGGATCGAAAATTTGAAGAATCGAAAAATTGAGTAATCGAAAAATCGAGAAATCGAGAAATAGGTAAATCGGGAAATCAGGAAGCAAAGTACATAATTGAAAAATCTAAAATTTTTAAAATTAGGAAAATAAAATGTCGAAAAATTTAAAAATCGAAAAATTAAAAAGTGTAAAACTAAACAATCGAAGAAGAAAAAACTTTGAGATCGAAAAATTGAAAAGACGAAAAAACATTGAAAAATCGAAATATGTGATTGAAAAATCCCAAAAGTGAAATAACGAAAAATTGAAAAATGGAAAAAAATTGATGAATCAAAAAATTCAAGAATCAAAAAACTGAATAATTCCAAAAACTGAAACATCGAAAAATTGAAAAACGAGGAAATTATTGAGAAACTTAGTAATCGAAAAAGTGCAAAATCACACATGCACTGTAACATTGAAATATTAAAAATTTAAGAAATCGAAAAATCAGTTAATTGGAAATCCAAAAATTACAAAATTTAAAAATTGGAAAGTCGAGGAATCAAAGATTGAAAATTGAAAAAACGAAAAATTGCGATATATAATCAGGAAAATGATAACTAAAAATCGGAAAAATGAAAAATAAAAATCAAGAACTTACAAACTCGAGAAATAGAGAAAATTAAAGTTGATAAAGCGAAACATTGAAAAATAAAAAAATAACAAAATTATGATATCAAATAAATTTTAAAATTGAGGAAAAAAAAACGAAAAATTATGATATCAAATAATTGCATGAGTTTCAAAATTTTGAGATTACGTCATCAATTTTTTGGGAGGGGATAAACGAATAAATTTTGATTAGAAATTACTATGATTACGATAAACTTCAAAGTTAAATTGCAAAATGTCATACAATTTCGATTTTTTTTTTTTTTTCAAAAATCTAGATGTCTATAGTGAAAACTCAACACGGATTCAGACATCACAAGTGCAGGAGTATCTTACTTTATAAAATTCAAAACAATTTATGTATTATTGTAAATTTTGCAGATGACAGACAAGACAGACGGAAATGGGAGGCCACTTTTTTCATACTCTAGAGATCATGAAACGTCGAAAAAACAGAAAAGTGCCAAAAAGACGATTCTACACCCGGTCCGGAATACCACAATCAGAACATGTATGTATGTACCCTTGTTTGAAAACCCCAACCAACCCACCTCAAAATTGACCTGCGGCGCCGTCCCCAGAATCTGCTGCACCCTGTGCTCCCCATTCCTCTTGAAACAAAACCCCGGATTATGCGTTTCGTACATCTTGACACTGGCTGCCTGCAAGAACACCAGAATTCGATCAGTCCCTCCGGATCGTCTTCCCTTTCAGCCTGTCAGTCCCCGCCGCGATAACGTCCATCAACACAAAAACGTCCAGCAAACCGGCGACGACCTCTGGGATCTATCTCCTCATTGTGGTGAAGGTAATTTGTGCTTTGGAAGCCCAGCTGCGCATTCGGGGCGAAATGACCGCAGGCATGGGTGTGTATGTGGTGTATAAATACCTCGGTGGAATCCGTGCCGAAGTCCGACTTGGAATACTTCGATTTGAATCTCTGTATTTCGGTGTTAATCATTCTGAGCTCGTTTTGTTTTTCCTTCTCTAGCCTGTTCAGCGCCATGGACAAGTTGGAATATTCAGCGCGGTTTTTTATGTTTGCGGTTGCGAGCTTTTCGAGGGACATGCTGGCGAATTTTGATCTTGACAGTTGTAAATTTTAGGATGTGTCTACTTGACGGGTGGAATTCGGGGAAATTTCGTGATGCGAGGATTATACAAATTTGCTTGATAGTCGATGTATGGGTTTAAAAAGAATATAAGGTGTACGAGAATTTAAATCGTTGAATGTCTTGCTTTTAAGCCTAGGTTACGAATTTTTTTTATGTATTTCCCAAAAACTGTCTATTCAAAAATTAAAAAAAAACACCACTTGTTGAATTAGGTTGATACCAAATAAAATTCCTCTACGGTTTATTTTTACACTGCTAAGTTGGTATTAAAAAAAACTTTAGATTTGGTTGTATTCGCAAGACAAAATTTAAAGTATATCGGCTGTCGCACCATATGACACAGTATTTTGAAAATCGTGGGTTATACATATAAGATTAAAAATAACTGTCATACATGCTGGATGTTCTAATGGGTTTCCGGATGGGTGTTCAAAATTGCTAACTTCAAAAATCAAAAACCCATTTTACCCAAAGGCCATGAACGGTACAATTTTCAAAATATGGGTAAAAGAGCAGTTAATTTCGGCGTTACCATTTGATGAGAGAAAAACAGTAGTAATAATGGATAATGCGCCTTACCATTTTGTAAAAATTGACAAGCCGCCGGCGCCGACAAAATCTTCAAAAAAAGTCATTTTACAGAATTATCTTGCCGAAAAAATGTCTAAATTAACCTTGCTTGCTATAAAAGAACAATTGTGAAAAATAATCAAAGCTCAGTTACAAAACAAAAAATCGCAAAAATTGTAACATCGAAAAATTGAAGAATCCAAAAACTGAAAAATCTTGCAACTGAAAAATTCCAAAACTAAAATGACGAAAAAATGGAAATTCGAAAAATTGAATAATCGAAACATCAAAAAAATTGGAAAATCGATAAGTCGAAAACTCAAAAAATCGAAAAATTCAAAAACTGACACATTGAGAAATTCAAACATCAAAAAATCGAGAAATCGAAAGTCGAAAAATCGAAAACATCAAAATTGAAAAATCGAAAAATTTAAAATTAGAAAAATAAATCGAAAAATCGAGAAATTGAACAACCAAAAAATCGAAAATCGAAACATATAAAATTTAGATAAGTCGAGAAACTGAAAAATTGAAAAACCGAAAAATCTAAAATCGAGAAGTGAAAAAATCGAAAGATGGAGAAATCGAAACAAAAAAATTGAAACATCTAAAATTTAAACACCGAAAAGGGGAAAAGTCGAAAAAGTAGAAAATTGAGAAATCGAAAAATTCAAAAACTGAAACATCGAAAAATCGAAAAGTCGAAAAGTCGAAAAATCGAAAAATTGAGAAACCGGAATGGGCCAAAATATGAAAGTTAAAAATTGAAAAATGTAAACATCTACAATTAAAAAAAAATTATAAGTCGAAAAATTGAAGAATCGAAAAAAAGCGAAAATGAACAACCAAAAAATCAAGAAAATGGACAACCAAAAAATCGAAACAGCGAAATCTCCATAAACCCAGAAACTGAAAAATTGAAAAACTGAAAATTCTAAAACCGAGAAATGGAAAAATTAAAAACCAAAGTCAAAAATTCCAAAATTCCATAAATTGAAAAAGAAAAAACCTGAAAAATCGAAAAATTGAAGCATTATAAAACTGAAAAATGGAAACAATAATAATATATAAAAAGTCGAAAAATCCGGAAATGAGCAAATCTATAATTTTAAAAATTGAAAAATCAGAAACCAAAGTCGAAAAATTCTGAAAATTGGAAAAGCAAAATCCTGAAAAATCAAAAAATTGGAGAATTGAAAAACTGAAAAATATAAATATTGAAAAGTCTAAAAATCGGGAAATGGGAAAATAAAAAAATCGAATTAATCGAAAGATCGAGAAATCGAAATATCGAAAAATTGAAAAATCTAAAATTTAAAAACTGAAAATTGGAAAAGTCAAAAAAGTAGAAAGTTGAGAAATCGAAAAATCAACCAAGGAATCGAGAAATCGATAAGTGGAAAAATCGATAAATTGAGAAATTGAAATAGGTCAAAATACAAAAGTTAATTAAGAAAATGTACAACCAAAAAATCGAAACATCGAAATATCCATAAACCCTGAAACTGAAAAATTGAAAAACCGAAAATTCTAAAATCGAGAAATGGAAAAATTAAAAACCAAAGTCAAAAATTCCAAAATTCCATAAATTGAAAAAGGAAAAACTTGAAAAATAGAAAAATTGAAGAATTAAAAACTGAAAAATCGAAACATGTTGAGTAACCGAAAAATTTAAAAAGTGAAACTTCGAGAAATCGAAACATCAAAAAAAGAATCGAGAAATCTAAAAGTGGAAAAATCCAAAAATGAGAAATCGAAATAGGCCAAGATCGAAAAGTTAAAAACAGAACAATTTAAAAATTTACAATTAAAAAAAAAATCGAAAAAATGAGAAACGAACAAACAAAAAATCCAAACATCGAAATCTCGATAAATTCGTAAATTGAAAAACTGAAAAATCTAAACTTTGAAAAATTGAGATATGGAGGAAATGAAAAATCGAAAAATCGAGACATCGAAAAGTCGAGAAGTCGAAAAATCGAAAAATTGAGAAATCCAAATAGGGCAAAATAGAAAAGTTAAAAACTAAAAAATGTAAACATTTACCATTAAACAAAAATTGATAAATCGAAAAATTTAAGAATCGAAAAATCGAGAAAATGAACAATCAAAAAATCCAAACATCAAAATCTCGATAAACCCAGAAACTGAAAAACTGAAAAACCGACAATTCTAAAACCGAGAAATGGAAAAATTAAAAACCAAAGTCAAAAATTTCAAAATTCCATAAATTGAAAAAGGAAAAACTTGAAAGATAGAAAAATTGAAGAATCAAAACTGAAAAATCGAAACATGTAAAATAGTCGAAAAATCCGGAAATGAGCAAATCTAAAATTTTAAAATTTAAAAGCCGAAAAATAGAAAAGTCGAAGTAGTAGAAATTTGAGTAATAATCGAAAAATTTAAAAAGTGAAACTTCGAGAAATCGAAACATCAAACAAAAGATCGAGAAATCGAGAAATCGAAAAGACGAGAAATGGAAAAGCAAAAACCTGAAAATAAAAAAAATTGGAGAATTGAAAAATTGGAAAATCGAAATATTGAAAAATCTAAAAATCGAGAAATGGGAAAATAAAAAAATCGAATTAATCGAAAGATCGAGAAATCGAAACATCTAAAAACTGAATAATCTAAAATTTGAAAAATTGTAGTATGAAGAAACCGAGAAATCAAAAATGGAGAAATCAAACATATGTATAAAATTTTAAAAATTGAAAATTGAAAATATCGAAAAATTGAAAAATCTAAAATTTAAAAACTGAAAAATGGAAAAGTCAAAGAAGTAGGAAGTTGAGAAATCGAAAAATTCAAAAACTTAAACATCGAGAAATCGAAAAGTCGAAAAATCGAAAAATTGAAACATCGAAATAGGCCAAAATACAAAAGTTAATTGAAAAAATGTACAACCAAAAAATCAAGAAAATGAACAACCAAAAAATCGAAACATAATAATAGGTATGTAAAAAGTCGAAAAATCCGGAAATGAGCAAATCTAAAATTGAAAAATCAGAAACTAAAGTAGAAAATTCTGAAAATTGGAAAAGCAAAATCCTGAAAAATCAAAAAATTGGAGAATTGAATAACTGAAAAATCTAAAAATTGAAAAGTCGAAAAATCGGGAAATGGGAAAATAAAAAAATCGAATTAATCCAAAGATCGAGAAATCGAAACATCAAAAAACTGAATAAACTAAAATTTGAAAAACTGTAATATGAAGAAACCGAAAAATCAAAAATGGAGAAATCGAAAAATATAAAATTTTAAAAATTGAAAAATGAAAATATCAAAAAATTGAGAAAAATCCAAAATGTTTTCAATTCAAAAAGTCAAAGAAGTAGAAAGTTGAGAAATCGAAAAATTCAAAAACTGAAACATCGAGAAATCGAAACACAAAGAAAAAATCGAGAAAACGAGAAATCGAAAAGTCGAAAAATCGAGAAGTCGAAATCGAAAAATGAGAAATCGAAACAGGCCAAGATCGAAAAGTTAAAAACTAAACAATTTAAAAATTATAAATTAAAAAAAATCGATAAATCGAAAAATTGAGAAATGAACAACAAAAAAATCGAAAAACATCGAAATCTCGATAAATTCAGAAATTGAAAAATTGAAAAACCGAAAAATCTATAACCGAGCAGTCGAAAAATCGAAAGATCGAGAAATCCAAACATGGAAAAATTGAAAAATCTAAAATTGAAAATTTGAAAAATTGAAATATGGAGGAACTGCAAAATCTATACATAGAGAAATCGAAAAATGTGAAATTTTAAAAACTGGAAAATGAAAATATGGAAAAATTGAAAAATCTAAAATTTAAAAACCGAAAAATGGAAAAGTCGAACAAGTAGAAAACTAAGAAATCGAAAAATCGAAAAATAGAAAAATCGGAAAGTCAAAAAATTAAAAAATTGAAAAAAAAACTGAAAAGTCGAGAAAATCAGAAATGGGAAAATAAAAAAATTGATTAATCGAGAAATTTAAAAATCGAGAAATTTAAAAATCGAAAATTTGAAATGTGACAAATTGAAAAATCGTAAAACTGAAACATTGGAAAATCGAGAAATCAAAAAATGGAGAAATCGATAGATCAAATTTGAAGAATCGAGAAATTGAAACATCTCAACAATGAAATATCGAAAAATCGATAACGAAAAATTGAAAATCGAGAAATTCAAAAATTTAAATATCCGAAATCAAGAAAATTGAAAAATTTAATCGAAAAAGTGCAAAATCGAACAAACACAATATATACATATTGCAAAATTGAAATACATATTAAAAATTAAATAATTCGGAAAATCGCATAATTGAAAACCCAAACTTTTCAAAATTGAAAAATTTAAAAATTGGAAAATCGAAGAATTGGGAAATCAAAGACTGAAAATTGAAAATACGAAAAATTGTGATAC